ACTGCTGACAGAGGAGAAAAATCAAGAAAGTTTTCAAGGAATTAAGGATACGAATACAATTTTAACCGTAAATAAATCGTTTAATTTTTAAAAAAATGGTCTCGCTCAGCCCGATTAAAGAAATTTTTTTCTTACGTATGTTGAATTCACTTTTGCTAAAAAATTTAGAGTATCATTGACGCCAGTGCTCGGTATTAAAATGAGACATAGTCACGGAAAAGAACTGTATAATTTGAAAGCTAAATTTTTCCCGTGGCAATTGATGTATTCCTGACCCTTTGTAATTTGCTTATGTAGTCATTTCCGAGCATTTACTCCCCCTTCATCTCAAAAATTGTATTCATTCAAAAACCTAGAACTCACAAACTACGCAGTTGTTTCAGGACTTCTGCAGGCGTGACGATTTTTGGATTTTATTTTGGACCCGCGACGTCAACGCCAACAAAATGAGAAAAGAGAAAGAACTACCTACACCACTCATTGTCATCCTCGCAGAATTTAAACTTCAGTGCGCAGAGAAAGAACAGAGAGGGGTATCGATAAGGGAGGGGGAGGTAAGGGCGCACAAACGTGCGTATAAACACTGGAGTATTTCGGCATCGTCTGGAATTTGCATTTTCATGCATTTGCGGTTGTTCCGCGAAAACTTCACTAGCTGTTCCTCCTTCAAACCTTTTCTTCTTCCCCGAATCCCCTTTATCTTCCCTTCCACTATTAAGGAGGAGGTTTCAAAGCCCCTTACTTTCGCGAATTACTTCGTTCAGTTGACACTCGCAAATACGGATAATGGATCCGGTGTACAAAGGAGATACGACGAACTGAGTAGAGTTGTAATATAGGTAATATTATAGTATAGATAGCAAGATAATAATGTTGAGCACGTCACGTATTTTTAAAATACACTCCGAATTGCACAGTTTGCGTAGTTTGTGATGTGGATTTACAAATTTACTGCATCTGTGGGCACTTCTTTCTTTTCAATCGCCGGTATAACGTTTGCCCTGAAACCTGCCCTAGGTAAACGGACGTACTTGCAAACTGGTTTAAGTCTTTCCTACCAATGATTCCAATAAATGAAAAGCATTTATTCGTGTTTGTTTATCAAAATGGCGTAGAGGGATTCTCTAAAACAATTGATTCTCATTGGGTGAAATAAGACCTCCCCCCCCCCAAAAAAAAAAAAAATCTACATTGCCTCTACCAAAAAATGTGAGAGTTTTCATTAAGAAAACGTGACGTATCTTTTATCTTGGAAATCGTAATTAGATCAATTATTCGGTGAGAACAGCTCAGAATTGTTTCTAAGACGACTTAATCGTTTAAAATTTTCTGGGGGAGGTCCTCCGACTTCGGACCCCCTTTTTAAGTTACGGAAGTCCTTTGAATTTTCCTTTGAGATAAGAGTTTCCTGTAGGCCTTCGTTATTGGGGTTTCTTTTAGGGCCCCTCAGACCCTCCTTCATGAGATATTCTTTTCCCCTCATGAAAAGCTCCTAATTCCGTCCACGTTAATTCTATAGTACAGACGAGTTTTAAGAATTTGCGAGAGTGGTGTATTCAGGTGGGGATTAATCATCGTTATTTTGATAACAATGATCGGAAATGACGAAGGAAAAAGTGCTCTTTCCCTCTCGAAAATATACCTAAGGAATTTTTTTGAGGAAGTTCGTAACATACATATAATTCATTTCCGAACCGGTATTTCAATCAATTATTTGGTAAGGCAAGTCTAAATTTGCCTCGAAGCGACTCAGATCTGTATCATTTTCTCAGTGAGCCCCCCCCCCCCGACCCCTTATTGGAGCAGGGAAAATCTTCTTGAGCCTTTTTTTGAAGTTGGTAGATTCCTGTAGCCCCAGCCCTGGCCACAAGGGGATGGCACCGTGTGCTCCTACATGCCTTTGATGAGGTGCTTCTAATCATCGTAAAAAAATCCTAGTTCTACCCACGCGACGAACCTATTGTGGAAAATGAATCTGTTTTGGTCACGGAATCATGTTTTGATCCTTGATTCTTACAGATCAGCTGCAAATAATAAGATCTATCCAAACAGCAACTTTCTACCTTCGATTTTAACCGAGATATTGCCCTTTGAAAAGTCGGATTTTTGACGTCATCCACGGCGGTAGTGACCCCCTTGATTTCTTCTACCTTGCTTTTATCAGTTGGTGTGACACACATTTTCATTGGTTGTTCAACGTGAAACACGGATGAAAGCAAGGTGGAAGAAACTAAGGGTGTCACTACTGCCGTATGGATGACGTCAAAAACCCGACTTTTCAAAGATAAATATCTCGGTTAAAATTGAAGGTAGAAAGTTTCTGTTTGAACAGAACTTATAATTTTTAGCTAATTTACAAGTATCATGCATCAAGTCGCGATTCTGTGACAAGCGGAACTGACCCATTAGTTGGAAGCTGCTGGTTGGAAGCTGGAAGTTTGCGAGGTGCAACAGAATTCAACACAAGTGAGGAGCTGCGAGAGTCGTTAGCTAATGAACACATTTCCCGCGAGGAGGTTGAGAGAAAAGCGAGGAAAGGAGAGAATACCTTGACGTGAAGCAACATCGAGCGACACTAGGTAAAGCAACAGTGTCGTTTTTCGGGTGGAAGGCTCCGGGTGTGGAATTCCAGGTGTGAAGCTGCGCAAGGAACCCCTCCTTTAATTCAGCCCCCTGGGTCGTTATATCACTGCATCACGAGACGCTTTTCAGGAGCTTAACTTTATTTCAGAACCCCTTGCGTTTTAATTTAATCAGCGTCAGATCGAGTAAATATTTATGCGTTCTCTCGTGATGTTAATAGGAGCGCCAACTTTTAATTTTGTCGCGCCGCGCCGCGCCGCGGGTTGGCCATACGCATAAGGTGAGGCTTTCGTAAAGACGAGTTCGTCTGCGGTGAATACTGCCGCAAGAAGGAAAAATGCCGTATGAGACTTTAGGGGTTGATAAATCTCGAATTCCCAGAAATATTAAAAAAAAATTGTCTTTCGATTTTTCAGGGAATTTTGTTCGTAATTTGATGTAAATAGTCCACAAAGTTCAAGGAAAAATATCGATTACTTTTCTCAAAATAAACATTTCTTCGGAGGAAATTCGGCAACTCTTGCAGTCTCATACGGCGTTTTTCCGTAGCACGGCATAACAGGTTTCCGCGGAGAAATAGACTTCGGTTATAAAGGCATAGCATGGGTTTAAATGAGACATCAACATTTTTAGACCAAGAAATGAAGTTTTCGGTTTTGCAAACTTAACTTTGTGTAAAAAAACTGAAATCTTTGGAGCAAAATATGAGTCAAATTGTAGCTAGCAAAATATTTGGTCACTTGGACCGAGGTCGCTCTTTTCTTTGACCAATAACTTTGATTTTAACGTCGGTTCCTCATAAAGAAAGACATTCTTTACTCTATGTGATTAATTGTGGAGAACGCTTAGGTACTTTCAATTATTCAAACATTCAGATAATCTTTCCATTTTTCCACAGAAAGATAAATGACGTTATGACATTTTCATCGAAGATTGTATTCTGTACAGGTTCAAGGCATTTAAGTCCAAATCCCAAGTAGTTAATTACTCTTATACATTAATTTAGAGTCCTAAAAGAGATTGGACTCAGACTGATTATGAGTAAGGCTGGAAGGAGTCGGCCCTCGTTTCCGGCAAAGTCGTGTGATACAGTTTTGAGCTCATCAAATTGGTCATTTTTTCCAACCATACATTGTTGGAAATTTTTCATTTCACGGATGTTGCATTGAAAGTTTCAAACAATGATTGCACTTCTTCCTTTGAAAAAAGTATAAAGTTTCAACTTGATCCGTGCGCTAATTGAGCAAGATGAACAATTGAGCATGAGTACCTGCAATTATTTAAGTATGCAACACGGGCATCTGTAGAGTGGCAATAGTTGCCTCGTCACGTTGAAACTTAATTTCGATGGTACCCGTCGAAAAAATTTAAGTCCACATTGAATTTGCAAAATATCTGCTTTAATTATTAATATATCACTTTAAAAAAATGAGAATGGAAACGCTATCAAAGTTGTTTTGTAAATTGTTTTAACTGAATAATGAAAAATCTCTCAGAATACCAAATAAGTTTATGTTTACAATTTTGTAAATGAGTCAATTTCAGTGCGCTTTTTGTCAGCACTTATTCTATTCCTCTGAGTTTTCGATTGAGTAAAATTTTAGTGGTGATGTGTATCTTAAAAGCAGCTTCCAAAATCAATAAATTTCAAGTAGAGGATTATTTTAACTTAAAATAATGTTAATCTTAGATGGGAACTAGCCTGAAGCTTTTATCTAGCACTTGTTTTATCACAAGTCATGTCATCTTGATCTCATGGTCTTAATCAATCACTGCTCGTTTCACGGAGATATAATGTCTTTACATTGAAACTCATGACAACTCGTTATCAGTAAGGAATATAGTATTTATTAAAGAAAAGATTTGATAGATATTTTCTGGTAAATCAAGTTGTTGTGAACTTCCTCCATTTCCGTGAGGTTGCTGCATTTTCAAGTTGTATGGTATATTAATAAATGTTTTGTTATGAAAAAATAAAGAAATAAAATAAAATAAGACCTCCAGTTAAAACAATTAACTTTCCTCAAGGTGTTTCTCCAAGTTAAGTTTCCTTTTGTTCCCGTATCTTCACGGCAACCGTTTGTCGTAGCGCGTCAGTGCTCGGTATTAATTGAAGCGCAGTTTTATTTATCTTAATTAATTTGTTTCGATTTTTAATTGGATTCGCACCGGAGCGAAGTTGGGATTCAATCACATCAGAGACTCCTCTCAACCTGAAAATCGGGGTATAAATTAAGACAAAGCGCTGTTCGTGCCATTTGTATCCGATTGAAAGTTCTCGAAACTGTCATGATTTTATTCTCCTTGGTAGCTGGGAAAAATATCTCCATTATATTTTTTCTTCTTTCTATGGTTATTTTCATATATTTTTTTTTTTTTTTTTTTTTTTTTTTTTTTTTTTTTTTTTTTTTTTTTTTTTTTTTTTTTTTAAGCCGAACAGAACATGCAGAACGGAAATTCGAAACACTCCAAGTGCCATAAAATGTTGCTAAAGCTGTGCACGTCTATCTATCTCGTGTTGAATCATGCAGTTAAGACAAATTATTGGCTACAAAAGTAAGTCGTACCTCGCGAGCATTGTTTTAAATGAAAAGTCCATAAATGGACCGTAAGGTAATACCAGGTGTGATTTTTTTAGCAACTCTTGGGATAAAAATTCGGAAAGTTCCCAAATGTACACGTGCTTTTGATCGACGGAGTCACGGAACCGGAAAAAATACAGAGGTGATTATAGTTTCCATCGAAATGAGTCATAAAAAATTATGAGCAGCTAGATAAATGAAGCATAGGCGTGTGATGTATTATGCAAAGAAAACGTGCTTTTGGTAACGATTGAAATGATGGTAAATGGTCATTTTGAGTCTAGTTAATCGGTTATCACGCAATTTATGCGAGCTCTTGTTTGTTTTCTTTAGAAAAACCTTGACATTGAATTATTCCGTTATGCTCTGGCTCGTATTATATACATACACACACACGCAGTTCTGAGTTAACTTGTGACAGTGGCTGACTATGTCGAAAGGAGTGGTTTTTGCTGAGACATTCGTCGAGACACATCCGATTTCTCAGTTCCTGGTCCTATTATTTACAATGATTTTAGTCATTACTTCCGTTTACGCGAAAACATCTGACTACGATAAGGAACAATTAGCTCCAATTATTCTCGGTAAAGTGCGTTATTAAATTTAAACGAAGACGCATAAAATACTTTTGGAAAGGACCAATCAAACGCGACGTATCGACGGTGAAACTACACAAAAACGCGTACCTCGTTTACGCTCCTTCAAAAGTTTTCCGACCATTTTATTTAATCGAATCAAAACAAACGACTCTTTAAGAAAAACTGTGGTTAAAAATATTATTTTGTCAGTGTCATTTTAACTCTTAATCAGTTGTAGGTGATAACAGTGATATTTTTAACACTACTTCAGTAAAATTATCACTTAAAAGTATAAATAACACCACTATTCGTCAGGGATATTGCTGATTCAGAGCTAATATGGAAATCCACTATAACTTGGTAATTTTATAACCACAGTTATTCTCATGTAATTATTTTTTCAAATAATTCTAACAAGATATTTTTCACAAAATCAAAATAGTTTTCAATAAATGGCGTCGAGTATTTTTCAATCTAAAAAATACTTTATATCAGGAAGTCTACCCACCGAGATATGGATTTTTACAGTCTCACCGTCGATATCTACATCATTAATTTTTGAAAAGAGAATCATGCACAATAATTTAGGCCTGGAAACATATGTATAGTAAAAGTCAGAAAGCACCTACTTCGATTGTAATATTGCAAATTTTTTTATCACATTTCATTCAAAGGAGAACCGACGTATATAATTTCTTAGAATTTAAGTGATTTTTTTCATCTCGCACAGAATCTTCAGTGAAAGTTTTAAACACTAAAGGTGCATTAGTTTCCCGGCGAGAAAATAAAAAAACAATAGAGGTTTCCACTAGTTTTAATCGAAACACGTGATTTCGACTTTCAATATCGACATGGTAGATACAATTTTACTTTATCTAGGTAAAGGTGCAAATATCCTAAGATGTTAGGCCTTTTCACAGCAAACGCATGGTACTAATGCCATACTACCCGTTTGCTTAATAAAATGCCCACTCTTGCGCACTATTCAAGAAAACGGAACTTTTCAACAAAAAAAAAGAAGAAAAAAAAAGAAAAGCTGAAGGCAAAACTGTTTTTTGGCCGACGGTTTTTTCGGACTCTCTGTAGCTTTTAATGTGCAGTTTTAAGTATTTTAGAAGGGTAAAGCACAAAGCTACCTAAAATCATCCTTCAATATGAGTAAATAGAAATCAATCTGTTGTTTGAATGATTTTGGATGACCGTCAAAAGTAGATGTCACTAATGGGATAAAAATACTCTTTATTAGAGCATAACATTGTATTTTTAATTCGATAAATTTAGGCCCCATAAATGGCGAAATCGACTTCACGTAATTTTCTTCTCACCAAGTTTTTTTTTTTTTTTTTTTTTTTTTTTTTTTTTTTTTTTTTTTTTTTTTTTTTTTTTTT